ATACCTCCCCTCAAAATATAGTCATTTGTCCCCAAGACTTTTTTTGTGACTAGTCCATTTCTTTCCTAGTGATTTGAAATATTATTTACTAATTCCTATGAATACCCAGGATAAAAAATCTTTTCTGGTGGTGCTAGAGTTTGAACTCATCTTACCTCTTGCTAAGCAGGCACTCTACCACTTGAACTACGCCCCCAGATCTCAACTTTTTGTGTACTAGGAATTCAACCTAGGGCTTCTTACATGCTAAGCACATGCTTTACCACTGAGCTGCACCCTCAGCCCCTGTCGCTTGTGTGTGTGTGTGTGTGTGTGTGTGTGTGTGTGTTTCTGTGGTTTGAACTCAGGGTCTCACACTTTGTTAAGCAGACTTTCTACCACTTGAGCCATTCTGCCAGTTCTTTTTTGTGTTGGATATTTTCAAGATAGGGTCTCATGAACTATTTGCCAGGGCTGGCTTCCAACCACAATCCTCCTGATCTCTGCCTCCTGAGTAGCTAGGATTACAGGCGGGCCACCAGTGCCTGGCTCCCTATTGCTTTTTGTATTGTTTTTGTACCATTGATCTAGTTTCTTATTCCTGCTCACATATGGCATCTCGTGTATGTGATGTGGGGATCAAAAATAAGTCCTTGCAAATGCGAGGTGAATGCTGTAATGCTGAGCTGTAATCCCAGTCTCCATATCACATTTTTTTTGTTTTTGTTTGTTTAAGTTTTTTAAGTTTAAGTTTGTTTTTGTTTAAGAATGCCAGTACCAGAAAGAGCAATCCCAGTGAAGTTTCTAGCTGTCCAACTGATGGCGGGGCTTGGGACATTGGGAAGGAGGAAGGGACATTTTTGGGTCCAGCTTTTTTGTGGGCTGTGTGTACCTGAAAGGTATGGATGGGACCCTCCACTGTGTGCAAGCCGGCTTCCACGCATCTGGCACACAGAGGTGGTCGGTAAATATTGAATCAACTCATTTTCGGAGTTTACTGTATGTCAAACAAATAGCACTTTTCAGGATTTATCTCTGATCCTCATAACAACTACGCCAGCCAGGTATCACCACCCCTGTTTGACAGACCAGGAAAGTGGAGGCTCAGAGAAGGGAGGTCCCTTATGTTCAAACCCAGTTCGTCATGATTCCAGAAGTCATTCACAGAAGAACTAGATGTAATTTACTTCCGTCCACTCATTCATCCACCTGTCAATTCATTAATCGTCGATTGCGTAGCACAAGGACCATAGTACAACTGCTTTAGATGACATAAAACAGGCTGAGCGCTCTCAGAAGACCATCTCTGCCGCGGGACTGCGGGTACGCAAAAGGGCAGAGTTTCTGGCAGGCATATCCTGGGAATGTAGCTGCTTCTGCCTCCATTCTGGCTTTGCCTGAGAAGGCACGGCTAGATCGCAACTGGAGTGCGGTCTAGGACCCAGATATTTCGGATGTGGGCCGTGAGAGGGCGCGGTTCCTCAGCTAAAAGCTTGGCCTTGGAGACCCTTTGCACGCGGGCTGGATATTGGTGCGCAAGTGCAGAAGAGCCGAGGAGCTGCTTACCATTTTGCAGAGGGATAATTTGAGGGAGGGGGCGTGGCCCGGTGTGATGCAAACATGGAGGCGTGACTCAACCAAATTACCTCTCGCCTATTTGTCTTTGCCACTGAGGGCGTAGCTTAGGGGGTCCATTTCTCTGAATGAGGGAGGGCCGAATTCAGTGTTCGCTATGCCTCGAAGGCGTAGTTTAGGGCGGGCCTTCGAATCTCCCCTCAACGATTGGCTATGTCACTAAGGGGGTGGGACCCTATGAACAGTCCATCCCCAGTGTGGTCACTTCCTGTGGAGTTTCCCCAGTCCAGGGAGGAGGGGGAAGAGGACGAGGGGGAGGAGGCGGTCGTCCGGGGTTAGGTTGGGGGGTGTCGGTCCGTTCTGGGCGGGGGATGACTCACGGGCCCATCCCATCTCCCCGACGCTGCCCGCCCGCGCAGAGCTAGCTCCATGGCTTAGCGGAGGAGGAGGCGGTGGCGAGCGGGGGGAGGGGGACTCTTATTTTGTTAGGGGGACCGGGCCGAGGCCCGACCGGCCTGGCAGGGCTTGCCCGGGGCTGGGCGTCATGTCTCATGCGGCCAAGCCAGCTCGGGACGGCGTAGAGGCCAGCGCAGAGGGCCCTCGAGCCGTGTTCGTGCTGTTGGAGGAGCGGAGGCCGGCCGACTCGGCCCAGCTGCTCAGGTGCGGGGCCTCCTGGGGCCGGGAGTTCCACCTGAGGCTCCCAGGGGCCTCATCTGGGGACATCGGGGGCCCCGGATTGGGATTGGAGGCCCTTGGCCTACGTTTAGAGGACGTTTGGGCACTCGTTTTGGGGGAGCACCTAAGGAATCCGGTTGTGGCCTGCTTGGACTGAGGCTTAAAGAAGTCGTGGGAGTGCTTCGAGAGGGCCAGAATCAGATTTGGGAGGTCCTTGGTTGGGTCTAGAGGGGCATATTCTGGAGTATCAAGAAACTGGCCTGAACTTGGGGAACTCATTAGAGGCAGAATTTGGAGTCCTTGAGTAGTCGGGCATGAGGGGAATGAATTTGAGGGGACACTGTCAGGTGAGGCACTGATTTTAAGGAAATCCTGGAATCTTTTTTCCTCAATGTGGGAGAAAAGGTCCTGGGGGACAGCGGTACTGTTCCGGGAGCTTAGTGATTCCCAGTGACTGCTTGTTGTTTGGGAATTACTTGAATCTGGAGAGATTTGGGGGTATCTCAGATATGCCGCGTGTGTGTGTGTGTGTGTGTGTGAATGAGAGACAGCATTCAGCAAGACTTGATCAGAATAATCATTTCACTGCTGCCCACCCACCCTGCTGGGGCAGATCCTAGGGATAGTGAAAAAGCTGCCTTCCTACACAGCAGGGGCTTGAATGGGAGAAGGCCGGCCGACCGAGGGATGGTGATACTGTTATCTCTAAACTAGGGAGAGGGGGGAGGCCTCAGACCTTATTTGGGAACCCAGAGGAGGGTCTTATTCCTGCTGCCACTCACCCTAGCCTCTCAGCCAGCCCTGCCTACTCCCTACCCACACACCCCCTCTTCCTTTTATTTCACCCTCCCATTCTGTCTCTCAGTTCCCCGGTGTAATCTTGAGTCTGTCTCCAGAGCTGGAGTGAGTACCGATTGCACCATCCCGGCCTGGGTGGGTCCTCTGTCTGTCCTTTTCTCATATTCTCACTTCCATCAGCCCGTTTTGGAGCTCTGATCCTCCCTGTCCACACCCCTGTGTACCCCACCACCCATCTCTTCCAACTTCTGTGCAATGGGTGCGTGAGCATGGAAGGGGGCTTTGCCTCCTTTCTGTCGGGATTGTGCTGAGCTCAGCGGCTGCGGGAGCTTCCTCTTCCCAACTTCCTGGGTGGTTTTAGAGCCCCATCTGAGGGTGAGGGGAGGAAGGAAGACAGATTCTTGGGGAGGGGAGAGAATTCTTGCCAAGTGAAGTCACCCACAATTTTGAGGATTCGAAATCTTAGGATACATATTCTTTTTTCTTTTTTTGCGGTGCTGGGGATCGAACCCAGAGCCTCCCGCATGCTAGGCAAGTGCTCTACCACTGAGCTACACCCCCAGCAAGGATGCATACTCAGCCACGTGCATGTAAGTGTTGCCTGGACACTAGGGTCCTTTGTACCCAGCGTGGAGGGTTGAGCAGGAGCCCTTCTGTATATCGATTCACTATCTAATTCTTCATTACCTAGATCATCACAGTAGTGGGCACAGTTGAAAGGCAAGGGTATATGGGGTTTTTTTTTCTGTTTTTCTTTTTTTTGCAGTGCTGGGGATGGAACTCAGGGCCTCCTGCACTCTAGGCAAGAGCTACATCACCAGCCCCTGGAGGTGGGGGGGGTGTTTGTTTTGAGACAGAGTCTCACTTTGTAGCCCAGGCTGCCTCAGACTTGATTCCCCACCCCTGTGCTGGGGATATATGGCTTATTTCATGTGCCAGTAGGGTTGGTATTGGGGATGTGTGTTTTGATCTAAACAAAAGCAAGGAGAGGACTGGACAGGTTCCTCCAGCTAAGAAAAGAATGCTCGTATAAGGCAGATCATCCACCCAAATTCTCTCTCTTGTAAATGCAGACTGTGGGAGAGGGGAGCCTTTCATTTCCATTTTTATATTTGGGTGTGTATTGGTGGCCCCAGGAACTCTGGCTGGAGCTGGGAAAGACTCGTTTGCAGTGGTAGATCCTTCTGTAAAGTGAACCATCAAGCCCAGTTCTCTTTGTGATGTACTCAGTTTGTGTTACAATGGATTGTTAGGCTGAGGGGTGCCCCCTACTTGCTCTATATACACACATGGGTTCACATTGAGCTGTCAGGAAAACAGCAGGGGGTGTGGGGGCTGGGAGGACTCTGAATGCAAAGTGGATTGTCATTCCTAAAGTCTTGTTTTCCCCAAACCCAGGTTGTTGGTTCATGTGATTGTTAGTGTGAGGGGGTTGGGATGCAGGCGTTCTTATTGTTCTGACTCTCAGGGGACTCTGGGTAACTGCACAGAGTAGGGACAGGGGAAGGGGGTGGGGAACGGATGTGGGAATTCCTGGTGGTGATACCTAGCAGGATGGCTAAGTATGTATAAGAGGTCCCCCCGCCCTGTCACAGGGGAAAGGAGGGAAAGTAGGTCTCTCTATAATCACTGACCACTGCCCCTTCCTCCTTCCCACCCTCAGCCTGAACTCTTTGCTTCCGGAATCCGGGATTGTTGCTGACATTGAATTAGAAAACATCCTTGATCCTGACAGTTTCTACGAACTCAAAAGCCAGCCTCTCCCCCTGCGCTCCAGGTATGACTCGCATGTCTGATTGCCTTCAATTGGGCAAAGCCCCCGGCCCCCCTAGATGGGTAGAGACTCAGTGTCCCCCCTACCCATGCTGTCAGCAGCCTGTATTTTCTGAGTGGTAAATAAGGAGCCAGAAAGAATATGTCACACAGGAAAGCAGGTGGGCAAGCTAGGAAGCGTTCCACTGGACCTGCCTTGCTTGCTCCACTGCACCTGCTCACCCCTTCATGCACAAATATTCCTCCTGGCCTGGAGGATCCAGAAATGGGGCGTGGCTTACTTAAAGCCCGCCCCCTGTGGGTGGAGCCATAGCCAGAGTCCCTACTCAGCCCCCTCCACACTCTATAAACCTACTCACTCAGCCTTTGAGAAACCCCCTGCTTCTCTCTTCTTTCCCCCTACTTGGAAGTCTAAATGTGCTGAGTCATGGGCCTGGGCTCTAAGAGAGGGGAGGGGACATGGAAGAGGGGCAGGAAGAGAGGATTGTGAAATCTCAGATTTTCAAGACTAACTAGCTCCTGGCACCAGAGGCCTAGGCAGGAAGGAAGGATGGCCTAGAGCTCCCCTAGAGCCTGATGCCCACCCCCAGGAGCTCAGACAGCATCTCCAGCCCCAAATTGGATTTAGGAGTCCTTGGGATCCATGTTCCACTACCTCAGCCTCACTTCTGTTATGGCTCATCTTGAAATAGGAAGGATCTCTTGCAGTCCCCAGCAGTGGCGTCGACACTTAGTACATGAACTGGCTCCCAGTGAGGCTTCACCATGAGGACTCAAGACTAAATCTCCCCCACCAACCTGTGTCTGCTCAGGGCTGAGTAGGGTCTGGTCCCAGTGACTTCCCATGTCATGCTGTGACCCTTGAGGGCCACAACCAGGCCTGGTTGCTGTTTGTCCCCAACATGCCATAGTTTCTGAAGCCAGAGACCAAGCCTGGTTTCCGGGTCTACTCCAGCACATCATGACCCTTACTTAGGCTTGAGAAGAGAGCTCGAGCTTACCTGTGGCCCCATATTTCCCATTCCACAGCCTCCCAATATCACTGCAGGCCACGCCAGCCACCCCAGCTACACTCTCTGCATCGTCTTCTGCAGGGGGCTCCAGGACCCCTGCCATGTCGTCATCCTCTTCATCGAGGGTCTTGCTGCGGCAGCAGCTCATGAGGGCCCAGGCCCAGGAGCAGGAGAGGCGTGAGCGTCGAGAACAGGCTGCAGCTGCTCCTTTCCCCAATCCTGCACCTGCCTCTCCTGCTATCTCTGTGGTCGGCGTTTCTGCTGGGGGCCACACATTGGGCCGTCCACCCCCTGCGCAGGTGCCCAGGGAAGTACTCAAGGTAAGGCGAGGTCCAAAGGCCCTGGGAGTCAGTCCCAGTAATGGAGTGGTCCTAGGAGCTCAGGGATGGCCTGGGGTCCTGTTGACTTTTGGACGAGGTCCTAGAGGCTCTAAAGAGGGTCCATGGTAGCGTTTAAATAGTCCGTGCCTGCGTCCCATGTGTTTTTGTTTTCTTGGGGACTTCTGAGGGGTTCTTGGAAGTCATGAGGATGTCTTGGTAGGCTATGGAGGGTCCTGAGTGCCCCAGGTGGGCCCTGGCTTTGTTGGATGGTGTGTGCGGGTGTGATACATTAGTTCTTTGGCTATTGGGGTGTCTTCGGAAGCTATGCATAGTTCTACACCTTTTAGCTGGTGTCAGAGATTACAGAGACTGGTGGGGAGTTGTTGAGACTATGACAGAGGTACTGCCAAGCTGTGGGTGGATCTTGGGGGCTGTAAAGGATTTCTGAGAAAAAGAGTTTGGGTCATTGGGTCACCAGTATGGTGAATCCAGTTCACCATTGGATTCACGAGTATGGGGTTTTTTGTTTTGTTTTGTTTTGTTTTTTGTAGTACTGGGGTTTGAACTCAGAACCTTGCACCTCTGCCACTTGAGCCATGCTTATAGGTTTTTTTTTTTTTTTTGGTAGAATCTCATGTTTTTGCTTGGGGCTGGTTTAGATCATGGTCCTTTTACCTATGGCCTCCTGCATAGCTGGGACCACACACAGGCTTGTTAGTTGAAATGGGGTCGCTAACTCTGTGCCCTGGCCAGCCTGAAACTGTAATCCTTCTGGTCTCTGCCTTCCAAGTAGCTGGGGTTACAGGCGTGATTCATTGCATCTCGCTCACAAATATTTTTGAGGGGGTTCTCAGATTCTGGGTCCAGTTTGCCCACCTGAGCCTAGGAACAGATGACTTAAGGATTAGGATGGTCTCAGATTGCCCCTTTGAGCTCTGTTGTGCTTCTCCCCTTCCTACTCCATCCTTCTCAATCTCACAGGTACAAACCCACCTGGAAAACCCAACACGCTACCACCTGCAGCAGGCACGCCGGCAGCAGGTGAAACAGTACCTGTCCACCACACTTGGACCCAAACTGGCTTCCCAGGCCCTCACTCCACCTCCAGGGCCTGCAAGTGCCCAGCCACTGCCTGCCCCTGAGGCTTCCCATGCCACTGGCCCCACAGGCAGTGCTCCCAACAGCCCTATGGCGCTGCTCACCATCGGCTCCAGTTCAGAGAAGGAGGTAAGAGGCTCCCTGACAACATCTCCCCTTCTCATTGTTTTTCTATGGGGTCAGGGATGGAACCCAGGGCCTCACACATGCTAGACAAGCACTCTACCACTGAGCTACACCCCCAGCCTCCCCTTCCAATTCTTTTAACCTTGTACAATATTTACATCTTCCCCAGATTGATGATGTCATTGATGAGATCATCAGCCTGGAGTCCAGTTACAATGACGAAATGCTCAGCTATCTGCCTGGAGGCACTGCAGGACTACAGCTCCCAAGCACGGTGAGGCCCTGAGATGGGACACTGGTCTCAAAAATAGGGCATCCTTCTGTCACTAAGGCTATACCTATGCCGGCTGTGGGAATATATGAAATTCTTGCTGTGGACTGCACTAAGATAGGGAGGCCTTCTGTTGAGCATGAGGCATAGCACTGCCTGTGGGCCTTGTGCTGGCATTGTAAGGTAACTTCTATAGACTTTGATAGGTATGGGGTGGGGAGTTCATGGAGCCTCCAAGGCACTTGGGCAGTGGGAATTACCAAGAGGTGGGAATCAGGTAGCAATTTGAATGTCCCAAGAGATTCAGGTCATTGGGACATACCCAGACCGTGTAATGACAAACATACCAAAAGGCTGAAAAGTTGTCATGCATTAGAACAAGTGATTAGACCTCGTGGTGCTTGTAATGTACCAAGTCTCTTGCAATGAACTGGGCCAAGAGGTTGGATCCTTGTAGAAAGTGGACAGAACTTTGTAGCTGGGCACTGGTGGTTCACACCTGTAATCCTAGCCACCTGGGAGGCTGAGATCGGGAAGATCTAGGTTGGAGGCAAGCCCAGGCAAATAGTTTGTGAGACCTCATCTCCAAATAACCAGAGTAAAATGGACTAGAGGTGTGGCTCAAGAGGTAGTGTGCCTACTTTGCAAGCACCTGCTTTGCAAGTGCGAAGCCCTAAGTTCAAACCCCAGTCCCACTGAAAGAGAGAGAAAGAAACAAAAAGAACTTTCTAGATCAAGCGATATAGCATTGTAACATTCTGTTTCTGGAACATCCCAAGAATCTCATAACCTCTTGGGTAAATACTAACTAGCTATAGCTTTGCTTTTTCCCTACTTACCAAGAGGATGAAGCATATATATAAATGGTACCAGTTTGGGGCTGGGAATGCAACAGAGTGGTAGAGTGCTAGCATGTGCAAGGCCCTTGGTTCCATCTCCAAGCCTTTTCATTGATTTAGACACAGGAAGAGAGTGGGATCTTAGGTTAGACACATCCAGAAGACTAGAGGGTGTTTCAAAGCCATGGCAACTTATCAAGAGTGAGACTTGGGTGTACTCACATATTAGGGTATTAGTACTAGAGTGTATCAGAGTGGTGTTAAGGAGAGGGGGAGAAAAACTAGGCTGATACAAAAGCAGTGCTAGTTGTTAAATAGTTGGACAAGAAATCCTGAGAGATCAGAATGTGCTGGAATATACTGGAGTCTGAGACCTTGGTACATGGCCAGCAGGAGACCATGGTACACAAGGTGGTGCAGCATGATCACAGCGAAAGGCTGCAGATTAGGTAGGAACTCTCCAGAAGGTCAGATTTTGGATGGAATGTTGCCATGACAATTTACCAAGGTCTGAGAAGATTGGGTTGGAGTGTTCCAAGAATGTTGGATCGGAATGTTGTGCTGGGAGGAGCTAATGGATTGGAATGTCGCATCGGAGCCGCCAAAGACCCGAAAACAGTGGTTTTCCAGCATTTCTTCTCAGAGCCAGCCCTGGGTTTGGGAGAGGGGTTTCAGAGGCCACTGAGGGATTTATGGGTCTGGATGGGGTGATAGGCACCCCAGGTAGGCAGCAGTCCTCACAAAGCAGGATCTACTTCATTGCATGCCTCATGTTGAGCTGCTATATGAAATTAACTTGATGGAGCCGGAGAGTCGACAAGAGCCACCCAGTCCTTGCATTAGTGGGCCCTGTTTGGGGTATGTGGAGGGTCAGAAGCCTGGATCTGAGGAGAGGACCAGCCTGGGCCTGTTCCCAACCACTGTTTCTATACCCTTGCTGCCCCCAGCTGCCTGTGTCAGGGAACCTGCTTGATGTGTATAGCAGTCAGGGTGTGGCTACGCCAGCCATCACTGTCAGCAACTCCTGCCCAGCTGAGCTACCCAACATCAAACGGGAGATCTCCGGTGAGTACCAGGGTCTTGGCCCCATGCCCTACGCTGTACCTTAAACTGAGTCCTGAGCCTATCAGGTCTGATTCTAAGGGAAAGGGTTTTGAGCAATACAGTAACAGAATGGGGCTGGGGCTAGTGGTGGGACTCAGTGGTAGAGCACCTACATAGCATGTATGAGGGCCTGGGGTCCATTCCCAGCACCGAGAGAGAGAGAGAGAGAGAGAGAGAGAGAGAGAGAGAGAGACAGACAGACAGACAGACAGAGAAAGAGAGAAATTCTTATGGGTCATGGTCCTGCTTTCACTCTATTTCTTCTTAACTGTCCTCTTGGGTGTAACGATTTCCTAGTGTCACTGGGGCTTTTTAAAAAACAGCAAAAAGAGAGACACTTTTTTTTTTTTTACGATGCTAGGGTTTGAACTCAGAGCCTAAACCTTGAGCCACTCCACTAGCGCTTTTTTGTGATGGGTTTTTTCGAGATAGGGTCTCACAAACTGTTTGCCTGGGCTGGCCTTGAACCATGATCCTCCTGATTTCTGCCTGAGTAGCTAGTATTACAGGCATGAGCCACCAATGCCCAAGAAGAGACATTTTAAAGAAAAAAAAGTTAGCCAGGCATGGTGGTACATTCCTGTAATCCCAGCACTGAGGAGGCTGAGTCAGAAGGTTTTCGAGTTTGAGGCCAGCTTGAGCTACATAGTCAGACCTTGTCTCAAAAAAAAGGTCGGGTGGGGGGGTGCTTAAGAGTGTAGCTCAAGTGGTAGAGTGCCTGCCTGGCAGTGCAAGGCCCTGAGTTCAAACTCCAGTGCTGCCAAAAAAAAAAGTCACTTCAAGCTGTGCTCCATGTCATGCCCCTGTAGTCAAAACTACTTGGGAGGCTGAGGCAGGAGGACATCTTGAGTCCAGGAGATTAAGGCCAGCTTTGCAAACATGAAGCCCTGAGTTCCAGCTGCAGTTCCACCAAAAAATAAATAAATAATAAATAAATTAGCTGGGTACTGGTGGCTCACACCTATAATCCTAGCTGCGTGGAAAGCTGAGATCAGGAGGATTGAGGTTCCAGGCCAGCTAGGGCAAATAGTTCAAAAGACCCCTTCCCCAAAATAACCAGAGTAAAAATGAACTGGAGACGCAGCTCAAGTAGTAGAGCGCCTGTTTTACAAGTGCAAAGCCATGAGTTCAAACCCCAGTCCCACCAAAAAAAAAAAAAAAAAGTCCTATCTCCTATTCCCCACCGACTAACCCTTACCTCTGGATACACAGATTCACTCTTTCCTGTGTCCAGAGGCCCTAACCAACCCCCCCCACTCTCTTCCAGAAACTGAGGCCAAGGCCCTTTTGAAGGAACGGCAGAAGAAAGACAATCACAACCTAAGTAAGCTCTAGAGCATGTACACTTGCCTATGTGCTGTGGCGCTCTGCATGCTCCTTGCTCCAAGTCCTGGCCCTCCCTATGGGGAGCCCCTCCCTATGATAGCCTCCCAGCACCCCAGTTTCTCTCCCTTCCTTTACCCATTGATGACTCTTTCCTACTCTTTCTTTCTTCTCCCCCTGCCTCCAAAGTTGAGCGTCGCAGGCGATTCAACATTAACGATAGGATCAAGGAGCTGGGCACTCTCATCCCCAAGTCCAATGACCCGTGAGTCTGGCTGGGGACACATGGCCAGTGGGAGGTGGGGCAGTTCGAGGCCAGCCTGGGCAAGAAAGTTAGCAAGATCCCCCTCTCAATTAATAGGCCAGACATGGTGGTGCGTACTGATAATTCAAGCTATGCAGGAGGCATACATAGGAGGATGTCAGTCCAAGGTGTCCCTGGGCAGAAACACAAGTCCCTATCTGAAAAATAATGAGAGCAAAAAAGGGCTGGGGGCATGGCTCAGGAGGTAGAACTAGTGTGAGGCCCTAAATTCAAAACTGTAGTACTGCCAGAAATGAAAACAAACATGGAAAAAAAAACAGAAGAAAGATGTTTGAGTTTGAGGTCAACCTGGACTAGGCAGTGAGACCCTGTCTCAAAAAAAGGAAGCACAGAATGAAGATGGGGAGTGTTGGGGAAGGGTGACTGTTTGCAGTGAGGAAGGTAGGACAGGCCTCACCAACAAACATTTAAATAAAGAATCTAAGAATAGCCAGGTATCTGTGGCTCACACCTATAATTCTAGCTACTCAGGAGGCAGAGGTCAGGAGGATCGCGGTTCGAAGCCAGCCTGGTCAAATAGTTCTCG